ACCTGCCCCGTGTACTTCTGCCTGCCCCGTGCCACAATTCTATGCCAGAAAAAGTCCTTAGGCAGAGTCACAAGTGCTTGGGGCAAGAAGCTACAGGCGCTACAGGTCTGGTGAGTGCTGAGGAAGTGTGCTTGGCCATGCACCATCAAGTGTCTGCAGTCCAACTGCAAATCCAGCTGTGACGGTCACATGGGAAAGTTATTTCAAGTGGCTTTAAAACATAGTACTTTGAGTCTACAACTTAGTGAACTATAGTCTAGAGACAAATAGAGCCACTAAGAAATCCTGAATTTCAATCAGTAATCTCATTATTAGTAGTAATATTGGTATTCATCTTTTGAAATTGTGTAATGTGAGTTAAAGCTAGTACCTAATTATGCTAATGTTAAAACTAAGATTTTTCTGAGAAAGAAAAAAAGACTCAAAATGAGAGTTAGGTAAAACCCAAATACTAAATTTGGAATAGAAATATATGTGTCAACTCCTTCTTTGTTCTTTTAAAAAATACACATTTCCTAACTCTGCCCCAGTTGCAGTGGACACCCAAGCACCTGGATTGTGGTCTCTGCATACCATACCCCACTGAAAGAAACCAGGGCTCCTTGAAAAACTGCTGATTCCTGGGCTGGGGGAGGAAATGGGCAAGATGAGCCTAAAACAGTTTTCTCAGCCAGAAACCATCAGACTGCTGGGACTGTGTCATAAGGTGCATGGGAGCCAACAAACAATAATGGCTGCATCTGATTGAAACAGGTTGAATATATTAAAAACTGTGACTTCATAAAGATAGTTTAAAAAAAACCAAAACCAACAAAACAAAAGCATGTAGTTGTTCACACTTGGAAGTCACTATGGCACTAACTCCTAACACTGAAAATAGACAAAGGAGAATAATGAAACAATTATCCTGGCTTTTCTCTACAAATTGCAATTCAGGATAACCTAGTTGATTAGGGAAAGTCCTTTACAGAGGAATTCCTGCATGTAAATGAATAAGGAATGATAGAATTTAAAGATCACCATTTGCAATCCCTAATGCAGTGGTTCTTGAACTTGAGTGTGCATCAGAATCACCTAGAGGAATTGTTAGAGAATTCCCGACCCCACCCCAGAACTTCTGACTCAGGAGGACCTGGGATTGGGCTCGAGAATTTGCATTTCTGACATATCCAGGGACTACACTTTGAAAACCACCTGCACGGAATGATGTGGTCCAGCAAACGTAAAGGAGGTAATTTTCACAGGTGGAAAGATGACTGACAACCTCAGACAGCTTCATCCCAACTGGTAGGTGTAATGAGAAAGTATATGCCAAAGCATTTTGGACACTAAATGGAAGTACTAATATGGGCATTCAGGCAACATATAAGTGTCAGGACAATGGATTTAAAGCTAGCACAGGTGCCCCTGAAGCCTAGTGGGATGACAACAGAATGGCCAATTTGGTTTAAAGAAAGAACTGATGGGGGGTTGGTTTCCTTATGTCTGTCTGCTACTTCTGAACTAAAAACAAACCTTTAAATTATTTTCATGAATATTCTGAGACCAAGAAAACCAGTGGGGAGTCTGGAAATGTAAGTTTCTACGGGACTCTGCTAATTAATGAGCCATGGGACAGAATATTTCATACTGGAAATGTTTTGTAAAACGTGTGCTCAAGGTTTCTAAATTAACCCACATGTGTTAGGGGCACTAACAAACCAGAGAAGTAAGAAAAGATGGGTCAAGATAAAAAGAAGATAGGATACTGCCTAGAGAGAAGATGTGGGTAATTTCTAATATTGGTCAAAAGGAGCAAAAAAGTAAGATATGTAATAAAATACTCAGACTTGCACTGTCTATAGCAATAGCCATAGCCATATGGCTATTTACATTTCAGTTCATGAAAATTAACATGAAATTTAAAATTCCACTCCCCAGTCACCTAGCTCCATTTCGAGTGCTCAGTAGCCATGTGGCAAGTGGCTACCACATTGGACAGCACATACAGAACAATCGTATCATTGCAGAAAGTTCTATCAGCCAATGTTAATGTAGACATTTGCTAGAATCTTGTTCTAAACAGCATATATTTGATAAATTACTACTCAGTAAGAAGCCTGAGTTAAATAAAAAGGTAGGTCATTCTCTTTCATACTGAATTCTGACAAGAGTGTTGGTTGGAAAGGAAGGGTAAGGCTGGGCAGTCAGCTCTGTCCTCTAGACTTCTATACCAGACTCCATAAAAGGGAAAGTGACTGAAAAAGGGAAGAAAATCTCCAGCGTGCAGATGTCACAGTGCAGCCGACAGTGGTCCCTGATGAGAAAATAAGTAATGAATCAAAGTGGCTTCAGAGGGAAAGCTGTTAAGGTAGATACATAGAAAATGGGTGTATGCACATTCACACAAGTACAGAGGACAGAAGAATAGCTTGGTCATCCATTTGTTTAACATTTATTGAGGGCTTACTGTAGGCCAAAGACATAAGAAAGACAAGAGGGTGGACTGTGAATTTTAGGAATGCTAGCACCCAGAAAGAGCTCATGTTTAAAGAAATTGTAAAGATAATAAAAGGCATTTTCCAATTAGCTCAGAGAAATTAGACCAAAGGAAGGACTGGCCCAATAATAATTGATATATGATGTGATAATGTAGGGAAGAAAGCAGTGTTGTCTTTCAGTTTATTCTCTACTCCTCCATACAGGAGCACCATCTAAATGGAAAGCTTAGAACAGACCTGGTTAGGAGGGAACTGAATCCTGAGATAGGCGAGGAGATAGTGGCAAATACATCAATACTTTAAATACATCAATACTTTAAATGACGGAGTCAGCAGAACCAGGGGCAGGAGACGATCTGCCTCTTTTATTGGCAGACGGTGGTCTCCACTGTTGCTGTACATCTTTGTAACATGGCCACAGGACTCCAGGCAATGCCCCCAGTCAATGGCAACAGGCCATGGTGTGGACTCGAAGGCTTGGTCCTCCCCTAGCAGCACAGCACAGGTGCTGTGACCCATGTGCAGGGCTCGACTTGACCTCTCAGCCAGGGGTTGCTTAGAAATCAGGGCCGAGGTGAAGGGAGGAACTGGCTTGCTAGTTTGTGAATGAGCCAAGCCAATCGCTCTGACCAATCTTTCTAGATTCATCCATTTGTACATTTATATGGGTATACAAGGTGGGGGGCGTGGTTTTTTTCTTTAAGCCTTCATTTCCTACTAATTAATCTCCCTTTTAAGAGTCAGCCTTGCCACTGCAGAGATGATGCAGGAAAAGCACAGATAGACCTGGGATAGAATGTCCTCTTCTTGCCTGTTTGGCCTTAGGCCAGTCATGGTTTTCTCATCAGTAAAATGTGGACTTCGGTACCTTGCCACGAGGCACTGGTATAAGGATTACACAAAGTAACATATTTAAACACTAGGGTAGATTCTAGCTCCTTGTAAGCATTCAGTGAGTGCTGCTTCCCTTGGATGAATCGTTTCCCACCCCTGGAACTAAACAGCAGAACAGAACACTTCTGGGCCTCATGGTGGTGTTGGCTGTGGCTGTCCAGGCTGGAGACTCCGTCAAGGTTTGGTGGAGCCAGTGACACTTGGGAGAGGGAGGCTGAGACCTGAGACCTGCTGCAGTAGCTGAGACGTTTCCTGCTGAAGTTTCCTTGTACGCACTACCAGAGAACTTACAAATCATAATTATTAATTTTGTTGAGTTCTAGAGAACAAAAAAGGAGACGAGAGATAGAATGAACATGGGTTTCAGCAACTACAGTCAAAGAGCTATGGAAAATTCTGGAAAGGATTGTTCAACAAGTGATGTGAATACTTTATGAGAAAGCTAGAAACTGCTTGAGTCTGCTAAGTCATGAAAAAAAATCTACATTGTTGAAGAGGTTTGTGGATTGACAGCTACAGAATTGTCTTAACTTTGAAGAATTTCAAACGCCCCTCGAGCACGTCATGTCTGGTTAAGAGGGACAGGGAGGCCGGAGAGAAGACAGTACGGGACAATGGCTGGCCAGATTTGCAGCTGTGCCCGGAGCCCGCACGACGGACTAGTGTCCATGAGAAGGACGCCTCGGGCTCCTCCTCCAACATTTGGATCAGCAGAAGAAGCGGCTTCTAACCTCAAGAAACGCTCGCCGCCCTGAGGAAGAAGAGTCAGCATCTTCGGAATCAGGGCTTTAAACCTGAGCGGCTGGAATGGCGCGTGAACCGTTCGGAACAAACAGCGTCCAAACGAGCCAGGGCGCGGGTCGGCGGGGTGACAGGGGTGACGGAGTGACGGGCGCCCGGGGCCGGGCTTGTGCCGACGACGCTCGGACCGCGGAGCCGAGGCGGGGTCGCCGGTCACCGGGGGGAAGGGGCGGTGGACGGCTCCGTCGCCGGCAGGGGGCTGAGGGGCCAAAGGGGCTGCCGGTTCCTCCCGAGGAATGGACCGGGGCGGGGCGGGGGCAGAGCGCGGGAGACGCCGCGACCGGGGTGCGTGTGGGAAGTCCAGAGGAGCACTGGGCGCCACAGCCCCTTCGTCCCCCGGCCACACCCGTGTGTGCGTGCGTGTGTAAAGGACGCCAAGACAGAGGTGTGTGGGGGAAGTCCAGAGGAGCACAGGGGGCGCCACGGCACCTTCGTCCCCCGACCACACTCGTGTGTGTGTGCGTGCGTGTGTAAAGGACGCCGAGACCGGGTTGTGTGTAGAAAGTCCAGACGAGCACTGGGGGCGCCACAGCACCTTCGTCCCCCGACCACACTCGCTCCCATGACTCTTCTGACGCAGGAATGAAACACACCGGAGGGAGCCTCCCCACCACGTCCACGCCGCCGTGCGTCCCAACTTGCAGACGGCAGCGCACGCACGGGCCGCGACCCTGACTGCGACCCGGGACTCCCTGGCCCCGACCGCCCGGGCGTTGCCTGGCAACGGCGCCTGAAGGAATCGGCGGCACCCTGTGGCGCGACGCCGCGGGAGACACTCACTTCCTGCGTTCCCGGAAGTGGCGTCAGCGCCAGGGCCGCTCGGCGGAGGCGGAAGTGGAGCCGCCCCGAGCCGCCAGCGCTTCAGCCCCGCCAGCGCCTCAGCCCCTCCGCGCCTCGGCCCATGGCCGCCTACCCCTACCGCCCTGGCCCCGGCGCCGGCCCTGCGGCGGGCGCGGCGCTGCCGGACCAGAGCTTCCTGTGGAACGTCTTCCAGAGGTGCGGCCGCCGCCTCGCCGGCCTCCCGGCCTCCTCCCTGGCCCCCGGGCCCAGCCCCTCCCCACCCCCACACCCGCTCCGCCTCCCCCGGCCTCCTCCCCGGCCTCCTGCGCTGTTCCCTCCTGCCGAGGGGCGCAGCCCGCCGCGGAACCCGGGGTCGCGGCCTCCAGCCCCTCCCTCTTAGCAGCCGGGCACCCGCAGTCTAGGGGCGGGTCTGGCTGCCCGGGAGGGTCGGGGCGCCTGTTTGGGGAGCAGAGGCACAGACTCTGCTCCGGCGCCGTCGAAATGCCAGCAGCAGGCGAGAAGCCGCGGGGAGGTCGAGGCGGCCTCCGGGGCAGGGGACCCTGCTACAGCGCCTTCTCTCGCTGGTCACCCTTCGAGTGAATGGATGGCCGAAACTTGAGTGACTCGTGGTCAGGGAAGGATCCTTTCCTGTTTGTGGAGAAGAGAGAAGCTGGTGCGGGTGGAATTCACGCAGGCCGAGGAAGAACCGAAGAGAAAGGCTCGAGGAGGCGGAGAGCCGCCTCCCTGGGGAGAACCAACTTGGGCTTTGGCGGTTGGAGAGCTTAGGATGAGTCCAGGAGCTCAGGCATTGCCTTATTCCCAGCGAACGTGGGAGCGAGACGTTCTAGCAGAACAGATAAGGTCCCCGGGAAGGGACATGGCGGAAGTAATGTAGGATTGACAAGGGTTAGACGGTTGTGCTTCCCTTGTTTTGCTTTTCTTGCACTTCTAACCACCAGCTTAATTGGTCTTGATTTTGTAGGGTTGATAAAGACAGGAGCGGCGTGATCTCGGACAACGAGCTTCAGCAAGCGTTATCCAACGGTAAGTGGGACCTGGCCTGGCCCTCAGGACTTTTAAACTGCAAGCCTGACTTACCCGTAGTAAATCCTCTCTTTCTCGAATTTGTTTTCCAAGTACAGAGGAGTCACGAAGACCTAGTTAGTATTACTAGGACGTGTGGAGGTGTTTGTGCTTTATTTTGCCAAGTGGTTTCCTGGTTGTGGCGCTTCGTGCTGCTCCCATTGCCTGGCTGAGCTAGTGGAACAGCTGCGAGGACAAGCACAGGGAAGCGCTTCTTGAGAAGTGGGGGTTGGGGGGTAGGTTTAGGGAGGGATAAGAAGTTTAGCTTTATACAGCAGACACTGTCTGGGTGTATGGAAGATGACTGGGTTTTCTAGGTAACTGCATCCTTGTGACCCCCCTGGAGATGGCCATCAAGGCCCCAGAGGCACCGACGGGGAATGATTGGGGATCTTGGAGGTGCTGGCAGCCTGATTGTGGGGAGGTGGCCTTATCAATGGGGGATACCAGGCATTCAGACAGGGAAGAGAGGACTACAGCTCTTGTATGGTGGTGTGTTGGGGGCTCTCCATAGAGTTATGTTCTTGCTGGTTTGAGCGTGATTAGTCCACGTGAGTACTCTTAGAGACCTCTTACTTCATTAAAGACCTGACTCTTGCCCTTTTTTTAATCTTGCAGAAGCCGCTGTCTTTTTTGATTCTTATATTTGAAGTTTATCTTTCCAGAGGTGTGTCATTTAAGCTAGAGAAGGGATTGATTTTAAGATGTTGTGAAGATGTTGAAAGGCTCCTCTTTGTTAGTGGGAAGCAAGGGGATGCATAGGAAGAGTGGACTAGGAAGTGAGAAAGACCAAGGATGCTGACAGTGCCTCACAGAGTTGGGTATGGGGTGAAAGGAGAGCTCACGCGCCCCCTCACTGTTGGCACGTACCAGGCATCCAGTGTTAGTTTGTTTATTGCCTAATGATCTGCACGAAGCTGAGAATTTGTATTTGCAGGTTAATACGTTTACTTTATAGAATGGCAGATACCCCTGACTTCATTTTCCCGTGTTTAACATTTATGGGCCACAGATATTGGTGTATGACGTCATGTGTATTTATATAGATTGTTTTCAGGAAGTGAAGAAATTTCATTACTTCTGCCTTGATAATTGTGCCTTCTTGATTCTTCTCTGATCATTATTTTTTTTTTTTTTAATAAGATTTTATTTATTCATTTTTTCCCCCCAAAGCCCCAGTAGATAGTTGTATGTCATAGGTTCACATCATTCTAGTTGCTGCACGTGGGACTCGGCCTCGCGTTGGACGGAGAAGTGGCGCCTTGGGGCTTGCCCGGGATCCGAACCCGGGCCGCCAGCATCAGAGCACGCTCACTTAACCGCTAAGCCACGGAGCCGGCCCTCTGATCATTATTAACCCGTTTTCATTTCTTCTTTGTGTCTCCAGTGCTTGAGTTGCACTCAGGAGAAGTAGAAGACAGGGTTACTAGGAAGATGTCAGGAGCACTTGGAATCCAGCAGCCTACAGTCTGGCAAATCTTGGCCTAAAACTTGCTAAGTGTTGACCAAAATGGGTGTTTCTTTAGATCACATGTTGAATGTTTCAGCTGCTGGGAGTGGTTGGCCCTTCAGTGAGAGTACCCCTCAAGGTAATGCTGCAGAGGCTTTCCTTTTGAGGTCCTTTCCAGTGAGTGAGGCTTGATTCATGATCCATTTGGACGTCTCCTTTTTGTCCTAGGTTGAAGTTTTGAGAGTGCTGCCCAGATTCAGGGTTTGTGTGAAACCTACTCACCTAGGAGTGATGGTCAAATAGTATGACAGTCTGTCCACCCTGGGAGGCTCCAGGGGGCACTAGGGTCAGCCTGCCTTGCTTCAAATCCTGGCTCTACCAGTTCTGGGAGTGTGACCTTGGGCAAGGACTTGACCTTTCTCATTGTCCCCACGTTTACTGGGAAGGTAACTGATGGAAATGCATGCAGAGTGCTTGGTGGGATACCTGGCACATAGCAAAGGCTTGGTGTTGGCTGTTGTGAGTAGTAAGTAGTAGTGTTGTTACTAGCACTGTTATTGGCCAAGGAGCTGGCTCAAGTCTTTGATGGCTTTTGTTTTCTTGATGATAGTGATCGTGGTGGCCACTTATAGAGCATCCAGTCCCTGTGGGCACTGTGCTGGGCACTTAAACTTGATCTGACGGTCAGGTCAGCATTGCTGTTTGAGCCTTGGGGGCATAGGTTGGGGGCCTTCTATTCTGACCTATAGGTTTAGGCTCCGGTATTTTCACCAGGATTTTTCCTGTATTTGTCAGTGCTGCCCCTGGTTCAGCTGGTTGCTAAAGCATATGGCTCTTCACTCTGTCAGAACATAATCTCGAACTCAGCCACTACTAAATATCTACCAGGAGCCTGCTTGAGAGGGAGAATTTTAACAGAATTGCCTACAGGATGTTCAGTCTCCCATTCCTAAGATACTCTGAAATCAATACCTGGTTTAACCCAGGTAATAAGTATGTGTCAGGACCATCTCACAGTGGCCTCTGTAGAGTCACGTTTCTTCATTGCCCTGCTGGATTCCCTCAGCTCTCTTGGGGGCATGTAAGAACTGGCTGCCTGAGCGGGTCATCAGTGTTAATCCTGAGAGAGGCGGGCTGGGGGAATGCCCCAGGGAATGGCCATCTCACTGTTCCCTGGGAGTGTGTTGGCTTCTTGTGTTTTAAGCACCTGTGGTAGCTGTTGTGTATTATTGTGTTTGTATCCTAAATATTTTAACCAATTACATTTCCCTCTTCAAATTAGCTGCTGAAAAGTAAAAATGTGTAAGTATGTAATTCATGTCCACCAGTAGTAGGAATTTAGAATTTTACAAAGTAGGTTTTACTGACCTAGTCTTAGGCTACTTACTTTCTTCTCCTCTTATCCGCCTACTTTTCTCCTTCCATCCAACATAATTAAAACTTTATTTTGCTACACCGTGAATATCTTCATAAATTTCTTCACATTTTTTGTGCAATAAGGCAGGTTATTAACGAGTACAGATTTGTAGTCTTCTCCACAACCCCACAGAGTAGGTCATATAGTATTACCAGTGCTTTGCTGGCCAAGTTACTGTCACAGCTCTCAAGTTGCAGGCCAGGATTTGAATTCAGATGTGTGTTTTTGGTACACCGCAGCGCCCCTGCTCATGTTCTGCGTTGGATCTACTCCTCGAAGGTAGGCATCCTGACCCCGGTGTTTTCCCACCTGTGCCTTCATGGTGGTGTCCACTGAGTGCTTCAGGTACCTGTGGCTTCTGTGCTCCTTCTGCCTAGAACACCTGCCTTTCCTCGCTGTAAGCTGACGCTCTACCCGCTCTGCCACGCGTTCCACATCCCTTACCTCCTGGAGGGACATGCTCTGCTCCTGCCATTGAACCTCCACAGCATTTTCCTTTTTCTTTGGTGCTCTGCTTTTTCCTGGTTCTGTTGAGATCATTTTTGTAGCTGTCTCTGGCTACTAGACTGTTAGCTTCGTAAAGGAAGGCCGAGCCAGTCTCTTGTTCAGATGTGTGTTGTGTGTCCAGGCATTGGTCACTAGGTGGACACGTGTCAGATCTCTTCACTCTCCTCCTTGAATTCCTGCAGCTCATACGATTGAAGTTATCTTGACTTCTGATTTTTCTCCCAGTAATGGGCTTCTGTTTTCATATTATAATTAGAATATTAGACTATTTTAGGAAATTAATTAATTTGTTTATTATTGATGGGAAAACTGAAGTTACAAAGTAGCTGGTTTCTCACTTCAATTAAATCTGTGCCTCTGAGTGCTCTCTGTTAAAATCTGGTTGAAACTACCCTGAAAACATACTTGTGCATCCCATACACTGAGTCTTTTATAAGACTTGTTTCTGTAGGAAACCTTCTAAAAATGGCTGCTCTCAGGGAGGTCTGCGGTTCACAGGTAGCAGAAAGAAGAGGACTGTTCTCTTGCTTTCTTTTGAAATAATGTCACAAACTATCTTGAGTGAGTGAGGTAACTTTATTTTTTTACTTTCATGTTATTTTTTGGAATTATGGGAAATTAGTTTTGTTCAAGCCTCTTTTTTGTGGTTTTGTAGGTTTGCCTTAACATATTGATGTATTTTTTTTTTTATAATTTTATTTATTTATTTATTTTTTCCCCCAAAGCCCCACTAGATAGTTGTATGTCATAGCTACACATCCTTCTAGTTGCTGTATGTGGGACACGGCCTCAGCATGGCCGGAGAAGCGGTGTGTCGGTGCGCACCCGGGATCTGAACCCTGGCCGCCAGTAGCGGAGCGCACGCATTTAACCGCTAAGCCACGGGGCCGACCCCATATTGATGTATTTTGAGGAGGCATTTTTTAGCTGTATTTTAAAAAATAATAATTCATATGTTCTTAAGATATTTTTATCAAAACAGAGTTCCCATATTAAGAAGAAATGGGAGAAATCAGACCGTGTAAGCAGAGAGTTCCCTGCAGACTCTTCATCTAGTCACATCGCTGTCCCCCCTGCCACAGCCCTGTGTGTGTTGCCCCCGGTGATGGAACAGAGGGAGTATGAGATTTGCCTTCAGCTTCCATCTGCCCGTGTGGAGAAAGGGCCGACCCAGCAGGCCTGGGCTGCTCAGAGCCTGCACATTCCCCAGAAGGGCCTGTTGATGACTGGCTGCCTCCTGGAATGTTGGGACTGACGAGTGTTTTGCCCACTGAGGGCCTTGAGGCATGCTGTACCCATTTGTCTGGATAGTTCATACTAGCAGTGTGATTATGGCAAACACCTGCTTTCCCTTGGGCATCTGGAGCTTCCGTGACTGACCCCCAAGAAAAACCCTGGACTCCCAGGCTCAGGGGCGCTTGCCTGGTTGACAGCACTTCCAGTGTGTCGACACTAGTCATCCCTGGGAGGATTTAGCGCATCCTGTGTGACTCCACGGGGAGGGGACTCAGAGCTGCGTCTGGTCTCCCCAGACTTTTTCCAGTGCCTTATCCCTCTGCTGCCTCGACTGTGTTCTTTTGCTGTAACAAACTGTGACTATGAGTATCGTGAGTCCTAGCGGGTCATCCAGCCTGAGGGTGGCCTTGGAGACCCCAGTTCAGCCTGTCACGTCTGCTCTTCCCAGAAACTTGCCCAGCCAGAATTTCAGACGGAAACAAAGGAAGGTTGGGATTTGGTGGACCTGGCTTTGCTGACAAGTCACTCCACCACCTTGGGCAGATCACACCCTGGCCTCAGTTTCTTCCGTGTAAAAATAGGGCAGCTAGAAGTTTAGATCCCTTTCCTCTCAAGCCATGCTTGTCTCCACCAGATCCCGCTCTGCCTGTATCCACCAGGATTGAGTTGACAGTCTTTCACTGTTAGAAATTTACATTGTTTCTAATTTCATTAATGTAAATGCTGTAGTGATTTGGCTCAAAATTTTATAGAACAAGTCTCTAGAAGTGGCATTTATCAGATCAGAGGGTGTAGGCATTGTTAAAGCTGTTGATCAATACTCAGATTGCTTTTCAAAAAGACCGTGTTTCAGTCATGGCCCTTTGAAGCTATAAGTGAAGGTAACTAGTGAGGTACAGAGTTTTGCTGAACCTGAAGAGGCACCAAAGTCTTGGCAATTTGCCTTGAATACCAGTGCTGTGTCCTGAGCACCTCTTGCACCTCTACTTACATAGCTCCTCTCTGGCAGGAGAGCCCAGAAGGCCCAGGTCTGATGCAGTAAAGTGGAAAGAGATTATCAGTGGTGAGTTTAAAAGGTCTGATTTTTTTTTCCCCAAAAGATTCCAAGTAGTTAGGTATTTCAGTTGTATGTGTTAACTGTTGTAAAGTCTTAACCCTTGACTACTCACTGAAGTCTCTACCAAAATTTAGGTTTGTGGTTAACAGGACATCATTTCAAGAAAGAAAACTCTGTGGAGAGTGAAAAGCCTGTATTACTGCAGAGCAGAGTGGGGTTTTCCCTTTCAATAAGGGAGGCATGTATAAGTCTTGACGTCACGTGAGTGCTTGAGGGTTCAGTGGGCAGTGCTGCCGCCTCCTGCTGGTGACCACCTGCTCTGCGGGACTGCAGTTGTCCCTTCAGCCAGCGCCACTCGTTCGTTCACTGTTGCTTCTTCAGGCCTTGGCACTGTTCCCAAATTGCAGGTGAAAAAAGTTAGGTGTACTCAACTTACATGGAAAATAGTGTATATGTTTCTGTTTTCTTTGGTTTTCTGAAATGAAATTGAGGCAAGACTTACAGGTACAGTAACCATATATTTCTAATAAAAGCGTGAGAGGAAATCTTTTGCCAGCTGGGTGGTTCTGGGATTCTTGGACGTGTTGGTTACTGGGGACCAGTTGAGGAGGTTTGAAAGTGGGGCTGGGACAGAGGACCACTGGAAATACGGGGCTCATGGGAAACCTGCCGGTACAGGCTGTCCCTACTTTCAGTCAGCTCTAGTCAATACTGGTTAGATTTCCAGGCTGTGGCAGGTGCATTTAACTCTTAATACATGTCACCGAGATATTAAATGTCTGCAGCATGTCAGCCTCATTGTGGGAACCAGGCCACAGGACCTGGCACATGATAAATAGTTAACTGCTGGCCGTTGTTATTTTCCCTTGGTTTCTGTGGAAAGTCTTACCCCATTTGGGTGACAAGGACAAGTGGAGGTCCCAGAAGCTGCCTCCACCTTCCCGCTGCTTGACAGCACTGCAAGAAGCCTGTGGTCTCCTGCTAGAGGAGCAGCCTCTCTCCGTCCTTGACTCAGCCCAGGGCGACCTCTTGTTCTCCTGTGCCTGGGACCCCTGCAATCCTCAGACTCCTCTAGCAGGCCACTGGTTCCCTCTGAGCCACACCTCTCAAGGATACACCATCTCTGTGCACCCATGTGTGCCTGTCCAAGTGGCGCCTGGCCCTCACAATGAGAAGTGCCTGTGTTTGCAGCATTATTTAACTCTTCTACTTGTATTGCTTTTGTTTAAAATTTATTTGGCCAAGTCCTTTTCTGAGACAGCCCAGTGCTCTTCTGCTCAGTGGAGATGGACTGGGGGTGCAGCCTCCACTTTCAGAGGTTGAGGTCTCATTGCTGATACTGCTCCGGCTCTGCACGGTCAGCTCAGTTGAGCGAACATTCACAGATTCTCCTCCGTGTGGTCACTTAGCCTGTACCAGAGGTGGAGGGAAGACAAAGAAAGACTCCAGTAGGTACATTTGGTTCCTCGGGCTGCTTGTCAGTGGTGGCTTCTGTTCTGTGGAGACTCCAGTTCAGTGCATGCAGCAGTGGAGACTGAGGGAGGGAAAAACAGAACTGGATGAAGTGATGCTCTCCTGTGTTGAGAATTTTCCTCTTTCTTTTGGGTTCTGTGTAACATAGTTTTCTTTTTATACTGGTTTTCAGTAATACTGACTTTTCCTAATACCTCTATATACATACTCCTGCCCACCCTCCCCCCAGACGTCTGTAAATCCTGCACAGAGATGCTTGCCCAGCGCTGATGTGTGCCCTGCTCGGGGACAGGTGTGCCCTGCTTTCACAGGAAGAACAGCCATCACTGAGTCATTACAGTTGCAGAAGTCGAGAAGGGGAAGTTTGAAGGCACACTGGTAGAGCAGATTTATTTAAATTGGGGGCTGAGGAATGTGGAGCCCCCAGAGGAAGCAGTTCACCTGAGGCTTAGAGGAGAGGTAGGAGTTGGAGTGAGGGGTGTGCATGCGTTTGGAGGGGCCACACCTGAGGTTGAGAGAAGTATGTGGGCGTGGCTCTGGGGATTGCTGCGGGAAGCCCAGTGGTGTGGATGTGAGGGGTAGTGTCCTTCAGCCCCCCTGCCCACGGCCCAGGAGGAACTACTGAGCCTCACACCTGAGCATAAAGGTGTTACTTTCTGTGAGGTCAGGGCATGGTCTCTGGGTGCCACATAGAACCAAAACAGTTTTGTATGTCGAAGAAAGGTGGGGTGTTTTTATACAAGTAGGGGATGGGCAGAGACAGTGCTTTCCCTACACATTAAAAAAATTTTTTACTTTGTGTTTAGTGAGTGTAAAAGCGATAAAGGTAGAAATCACTCTGAAAACGCATTCTTGGGCATAAAGGTATCTGGTGAACATCACTGTTGATAAATGGTTCTGAGTTCTCAAGTCTATCAGATTCAACAAGCCCCTTTATAACAAATATTTGGTAACATCTCCATTACTATTCTGAAGTGAATCATAGAATAATATAATCTACTTTTTCACAATTTCAAGGAAAATAGTATGATGCTCAGACTAATTTTAGGAGAAAGTTCCATGGCATGTGTTGAGTATGCTTTGGCATGATTACTGAGGGAAGATGAGGAGGTGATTTGATGTGTGCACTTGTGTGGAGAGTGACAACACTGGCTGTCTTAGGGACTCCAGCACTGGAAGCAGTGGTGGTCCTGGTAGTGAGATTTTCTGAAATGGTAATTGGTGACATTCCTAAGAAAAATAGGTGCTGTCTTCTCAACTTACCTGGTGGCTGCATTCCTGGAAAATTCAGTGTATGTTAAAAAAATATAAAACCATTTCTTGGTTATATAGTAAACAAGAGTGAGCTTCCAGCTGGACGTTCAGGGTATTATGCTAAGCGAAATAAGTCAGAGGGAGAAGGTCAGACACCATATGATCTCACTCATAAGTAGAAGATAAAAACAACAACAAACACACACATAGAGACAGAGATTGGATTGGTGGTTACCAGAGGGGAAGGGGAAGGGAGGAGGTTGAAAGGGATGACTGGGCACATGTGTGTGATGATGGATGGTGATTAGTCTTTGGGTGGTGAACATGATGTAATCTATGCAGAAATAGAAGTATAATGATGTACACCTGAAATTTATACAATGTTGTAAACCAATGTTACTGCAATAAAAAAAAAAAAGAGAGGGGCTGACCCTGTGGCATAGTGGTTAAGTGTGTGAGCTCCCCTGCTGGCAGCCCAGGTTTGGATCCCGGGTGCGCACTGACACACCGCTTGTCAGGCCATGGTGTGGCAGCGTCCCATATAAAGTGGAGGAAGATAGGCACAGATGTTAGCCTAGGGCAAGTCTTCCTCGACAAAAAGAGGAGGATTGTCATGGATGTTAGCTCAGGGCTGATCTTCCTCCAAAAAAAAAAAAAAAAAAACGAATAAAGAATAATATTTAAAAAAAAAAAAAGAGTGAGCTTCCAGGCTGATTATGAACAACTTTGAGTGTCTGGCGGTGCCTGAGGGACTCCTGCACATCGCAGGAATGGGCTGCAACCTTGAAATGCTTGCAACCCCTCCCAGTAGTCAGGGCGACCAAAAGCAAGTGTCCCCCGGGGGCAGTGTCTTCTTCTGAGAACCACGGCTCTAGGGTCTTCATGTTAAAAGCAAATTACTTAACTTTCACTGGCTTCTAGTGTTAGAGATTAGGAATTTAGAGTTTCCTATGGAAATAATTTTCTTTTACTTTAGTTCCTGTTGTTATTTTCAGGCACATGGACTCCATTTAATCCCGTGACTGTCAGGTCCATCATATGTAAGTAAAGGCGCCATCGCCCTGCCTGTGCAGCAAACAGGTGTGGGCTGCTTTTCTGTCTGCTTGGTACAGGTTGTCTTCCTGCCCTGTTCTCTCCATTTTGGCGGGTGTAGGGCCCTCTCCTGCCTGCCTGTCCCTTCACTGATTCTTCGCTTACAGTTCACTGTCTCCCCTGTCCTTGCAGTTCCCAATTCTGAAGACCTCAGATACACGTAGGACCTGCTCGTTCCTCACACAGTCCATAATCCTGCATGATTGTTAACATCGATTTTATATATATATTTTTAGCCATTTTGCAATTATATGTAAATGTAGTTACAGGTTCTTTTGTATTTGGAGCTGAAATTAGGCTGATTTTTTAAATGAAAAGCAGGTCTTAGTAAGAAAAAAATCTAAAGCGATTAGAGACTTTTTCTCATTGGCATGGTCTCCCTTGACAGAAAACTCTTGTGAGCCTCCACTGGTGGCTATCAGACCTCTTGAGAATTGGAGGGGCGGCTCTAGGAATTAGACCCATGTTCTAGGCCCAGAACCGGGGGATGGGAGTGTTGGACAGGCCACTTACCCTTGCCCCTCGGTTTCTCTGGCTCCACCAGTGGTTGTGCTTTTGTAGAACCTCCTTTAGTATAAAGTAGTGTTTTTATTGTGGCTCTACCAGTGTGTGTTGCTTGCACTTTCCTTTCACAGTCTGCCGCAACGTCTGTCTAACGTGACTCGGGGCTGTAGCTGGGTAACAGTTCCCCGCCCCACCCCGGCAGAGCCATCCAGCTCCCTATTTAGCAAATGAGCGTTTATTAGCTGCACCTCAGGGTTCGCTGGCTGAGCACCCAGCTGTGTACCCGGGGAACCAGGGTCTGCTGGGGAGGTGAGAGGTGACTCTGCTGTGATTGATGTCAGGATTCCATTGGCCGTGTACCAATCACATTCCTTCTTGTCTCAGCCATGTTTGACCGGGAGAACAAGGCTGGCGTGAACTTCAGCGAGTTCACTGGCGTCTGGAAGTACATCACAGACTGGCAGAACGTCTTCCGCACCTATGACAGGGACAATTCCGGGATGATCGACAAGAACGAGCTCAAGCAGGCGCTCTCAGGTTTTGGTAATTCACTTATCTGGGTTGTGTAGCGTATTTCATTTTGGAACCTGGGTGCCACTAAAGTGTTTTTTACTTTGTTCAACTTACTGATTTTTTAATCCAGTCTGTGAAATTTTTATTTACATCATATAGATTTATATTTTGATATTGTTTATATCATGAAGGCTTATATTCGACGTGGACGCTTTTATGCAGTTTTTCATCCAAAATGAGATAAGGGCTATGCAATCGTTTATCTTTTGTGAAATGAAATGACACCACAAGCACATTGAGAATGTGGCTTTTTAAACAGTTTAAAGTGAATAAGTGAAAATGAAGTGGTGCAGGGCAGTTTATATTTCACGTTACGTCAAAGTACACAGGAAGATGATGAGGTACCTGTAAGAGACGATTCTGTGAGCTGCGGTGCAAATCCCGTGCCTCAGGGTATTGGAGAGCGTTCCCATTCTCAAGTGCGTGTCAGCACCTGTGTGTGCACCACATGCATGCCAGGCCAGAGTGTGTGCCATGCCGTGAGGAGTGCGTGCCGTGCCGTGAGGAGTGTTCATGTGGTGCCTTCCAGAGTGGAGCAGCAGGCCTCTGACACTGGTGCATGGGTCTGAGAGGAAGATGGGAGTTCTCATTTACAGAGGAGAAGCTGAAAGGCTTGGCAAGGCTCCTAGTAGTTGCACCGAGATTGTCATTTGGGACAGTTTCACTCAGCCCTCTGTTCACCAGGCCCGTGTTACAAAACCCCTTCTGTGTTTTGCTTAAAAGGCTGTTTACAAATGCCCTCTAGAAAAAATAAGAAAAGTTATATTATGATGTACTATATTGTAGGTATTTCGAATTTTAATAATATAAAGTACATTTTAGTTTAGTGATTAGTAACGTGGTTCTGCCCACCCCCTCATTTTTCCTCTGGGCACGTACGTTATGGCTGTCTCTCCTCCTCCTTCCTCTTTCCTTTCTTGCCTTGTGAGCTCGTAGGGAGTATCAGCCAGCGGCTCTGGGGCTCCGCAGGAAGTTTGTGTTCCGAGCTCACCAGGTGTGGGTGAAGATTTGAGCAGGACGTTGAGCTCAGGTTCTCTGAAGTGGAACTTGAATGCAGCTGACCTTGCTCTGCCCTTAGGTGAGGGGGCTAGCGGGAGCCTCCACAGAGAGCTGTCCTGGGGCAGGAAGGAGCTAGAGGCCTGACTGGGCTGAAAGGACTAGGTAGGAACCTGGATCCCCCCGTCTACACCCTGCATGGGTACTGACCCGTAACCCCCTTGTCTACACCCTGCACTGGCACTGCTCTGTCGCCACGTCCCAAGCTTAGTTCTCACCAGCCTGGACCTGTGTCTTACCTGCCCACAGGCACAGGTGCTGGGTGTGAGGAGAGGAGACTAATAAGGGCTGAGAGGAGTGGCGCCCATCCAGGATTTGCTGTCTCTTTTTTCTGACTAAGTTGGGGGTCGTGTCTTCTACTCAGCTTGCAGGGAAGGGGCACCCTGGATTTAAGTCACAGAGACATGTAGCGCGTGCTGACCACTCCGGAAGGTACTCTTGCGTGTTTGCATGTTTGAGTCTTTTTCAGTAAAGTGATTAAGTGCTCATACAGGTAATTAACTGTGACATTCACTCAGACAATAGGTGTACATATCCTTGCAAAGATTGCAACAAGACTGAAAACCAGTAAAAATATTTTCACACCTGGATCTTGTCTCCTGAATAAGTAAGGATACCACGGCCACACAGGTAGTAGGATTACGAGGGAAGGAAGTAGGTGTCCTGCGGGTACCCTGGGGGTGTCCCGCAGCTGAGTGGCTGTGTGTCCACACATCTTCAGAGCCATCTCCCCGCTGGAGGCCTTTTCAAGAAACAATTCAGTAAATCGAAAATGGAATCGGTGACTCTTTGCCATAACATATGATCACCCTTCAGTGGTTTTGAACTTTGTGAGGCTGCCTTCACAAAGTTCTTTGGAACTTTGGAATCTTTGAATTCCTAATGTCAGTGTGCCAGTTTATGTGGGGGAGTATCTGTCAATTAATTAATTGTTTCCTTAAGTTTACGTTTTGTTCATTTGGAAGCCTCGGTGAGATTTCTCTTTCAAAGCATTCTCTAGTCATGAGTAATCCAGGGCAGCTGAGTTATTCAGAACTTTCATGTCTAGGTTAATAAATGTGATAAAACTCATCAATAAAGGGCCTTTTAAAATGATGACTCCACTGCATTTAAGAAACTGAGCCTGGGGGCCGGCCCAGTGATGCAGCAGTTAAATGTGCGCGCTCCGCTTCAGCAGCCCGAGGGTTCGCAGGTTCAGAACCCAGGTGTGCACCGATGCACTGCTTGTCAAGCCATGCTGTGGCTGCGTCCCATAAAAAGTAGAGGAAGATGGGCACGGATGTTAGCCCAGGGCCAGTCTTCCTCAGCAAAAAAGAGGAGGAATGGCATCAGATCTTAGCTCAGGGCTGATCTTCCCCGCCCCCGCCCCCCAAAAAAAAAAATCTGACGCTGGCTGCCCTGTGGGCTGGTAGGTGGTGCAGCACTACAGAATGAGTGCAGTTGACGTATACTCGTGAGTTTGTGGAAACGACCTTCAGCTCCTAGCACAGTGATGGCCTCCAGGTTTCTTCGCATCCTTCCAGGAAGAGGCTGCTGGTCTTTCAGTCACTTCCTGATATTGGAGATGAGAAGTTATCGCAGAATGATTTGTATGAATGTGCACCTGTTGTTTGTTATCAGCTGTTATAAGAGGCTGTGGGGTCTTTTGGAGGGTGAAGTGGGTGTTGATGCAAATGTCTGCTCTCCTGGCCCTCTCTTTATTCTGATTTCCCTCTTCAAGGGTACCGGCTCTCTGACCAGTTTCACGACATCCTCATTCGAAAGTTTGACAGACAAGGACGGGGGCAGATCGCGTTTGATGACTTCATCCAGGGCTGCATCGTCTTGCAGGTAACCGTGGTCTTCATGGGGGCTTTCAGCGAGCTGAGCTGCAGAGCAGGCAGGGAATAGCCATGGAAGTAGAGGGAAAGGGAGGCACCATTCTGGAATTCGTTATTTAATGGAGTCAGACACGTGTAAAGTTAGTTTCTGGAGCTTAGACAAGTTTGTCTTGTCTTTGGAGAAGTAACTAGTTCTGTTAAATAGAGGTGTAACAGTAGTGCTTCTTCTGCTCTTAGAAAGAGCAGGCCGTTCGGAAGAGGTCATTTTTTCCAGTATGCAGTGGGCTGTTTACATGTATACTCTGGTATTTTTGTTGGATTTTTATTCTGAGGAGATGGGTAAATTTTCCGTTGTGATCTTCCCTGTGCCCTGCCTTCGTGTGTGGGGTAAGCTCCAAAGCCAGGAACTGGCTGGTGAGCTCACAGGGCCTCGTTGGAGTGTTGCAGCCGTTCCTAACCAGCATCTGGCGGAGCGTGTGAGTCACAGTGGTCCCTGCACCTCACGTTTCCCGGCGACATCCTGTGACGTCCGTCCCGTAGCCTCACTACTTCACCCCCAAGAGAACCAAGTGCAGAGCTTCTCCAGCCCGCCCAGAGACGCCCACTAGCAGGGCGGGAGTAATCGAACCCGCCCTGGCTGTTCCCACACAGGCCCCTGCTCCTGTTTCTACGAGGGGATCCAAGTTCCCTAGATTTAAGCTTTAGAAATGCAGTGAATTGATAAACCCTTAAATTACCTCCATGAGCTCCCCCCGCCCCCATTATTCTGAAGCAGATTCCATTTACGGAAAGCAAATGTTTTTTCCTTAAATATTTCAGTAGAACCTATCTCTAGAAGATAAGTCCTTGCTGTTTGAATCCAAGTTGAGGTTACATCTTGTCAGCTTTAGAATCCACTGGGAGATGTGAACAGCGTAAGGTTTTTAAATGTAATTTGGAATTTTAGAAAAAATTCTCAGGGTTTTTATTTTCATTAAAAGGATAGATCAATAAAAGTGAAGTTTCTCTGACTGGCCTGCCAAGTGCAGACGTCATGATTCCTTTACCACTGCATCTGGGTAGGTCAGTCCCTGTTCTTCATTGACTTGTTGGAGAGCCAGGTCTGTTAACATTTACACTTCAGATCTCCAGAATGGGGAGAGCCTCTGCCCCTCAGGGTCTGGTGCGGCTGGCTGGATTGCATTTTTGCAGTGTTGCCTGAACACTTTAGAAAAAGTGCAGTGAAAAATCTCGTTGTAATCTGCATCCAAATTGCCCCAGGGTTAGGATTCTCATTTGAAGTTACATCTTGTAAGTAAACATCTGTTCCTTGTATTTCTACCTAAGCAGAGGTCATTGTGTGTAGGCTTTCAGCAGCTGGGAATGGGAGTCCCATGAGAAGCTCGCCCAGGGCCTCTGACCCCATGGGCTGAGGACAAGCGAGCCATTGCCTCTAGGCCGGGCTCCATCCCTGCCATGGCCTGACTGCCAGCTCCTGGTCCCACCCCCCTTCAAGAGTGACCCTAAAGGCTGGACAGAAGTGGGGAATTGAAAAGAAAAGCCACAGGCCACAAGTAAAAAATCCTCAAGGCTTTTAGAAAATCATTTTTTACAAAATCACGTGGAAACATGTAGAAATCTTGGGAAAATACAGTTAAAGGATAAAGAAGGAAGAATTACTCATTGCTGTTCAAGCCATAGTTACCTGCTGCTGGTGGCTTTGTGGTTTGTTCCACAACGTTCAGATGCTCCTGGCTTACACCTGAGTCCACAGTCACCTGTGAGGTCCTGTTTATTGTTAGCCATTTAACCTGCCCGGGCACAGGACGGCACAGCTCTCAAAGCCAGGCTCCAACCTTGCTCTCTGCCCCTCTGCAGGTGGCCAGCCCCCAAGTCATGATGACCCTTGGGCCTTGTTTTCTTCTGTCTCAGGGAATTGCATCATGCCTATTTCCTCTTATTGTTAAGATTCTTCAGAGCCTATTATGGTTGCCCAGCGCCTGTCCTCTGGGGCAGTACTTACTTAACCCTCGCTGCTTTTGGGTGCAGGTGGTCTCCCCTCTGCTCCTGACCTGACCTGGATGGTGAGGCTTGTGAACAGACTAAGGTGGAGCCCTGGTGTGGGGGGTTGCAGACAGAGGAGGAGGTGGAGTGGGAGGAAGGAACTCCGAGCTGGTGCAAGGAGACCTGCCCTCCCATGCTCTGTAGCTGGGCCCCACCTGCTGGCGGGCAGGTTCTAAGGGAAGAGCCTGGGGTGTAGGGCTGGGCCTTCTCCTGCTGGGGCGGGGCAGATTCTAAGGGAGGAGCCTGAGTGAGGGCTGGTTTCCTTGTGTCTTGAGCAGCACATGGCCAGAGTGGAGGTGAGTGTTCAGGGGGAGGAGCCCACCCTCCACAGAACGGTCTTAGAGTGGGAAGGGAGGTCCCAGGCTTGCCACCAGCTCACTCAGGAAACCAGGGCCTGGGGCCAGAGGGCTTGGCCAGGATCCAGGGCTGTGGTGTGTAGCTGAGCTGGGCCTGCAGTCCGTGCCCTGACCTCTCACCCTCCCCTGCCTCACCTGAACCCAGAGTCCTCTGGGGTGGTCAGGGATACCCCAACCACACCTCCCTGTGCTGATCTCAGTCAGAGTTAGGGGATGTGGAGACATGAATGTTTCTGAAATTAGGTTCCTAAATGTCTTTTTACCAAATACATTTGTTCCTTCTGTTTAATAACTATCAAAGTCTAAATTCCTGTTTTTTTTTTCCCAGAGGTTGACAGATATATTCAGACGCTACGATACAGATCAGGACGGCTGGATTCAGGTGTCATATGAACAGTATCTTTCCATGGTCTTCAGCATTGTATAACACGGGCCTTTTGCAAATAGCAGCGTGACTTACGGAAGAAAGACATTTTCAAATGCCAAATCTGTTAACCTTTAACAAAATGAAACACAGATGCAGTTAGATACTGTTCTTCCTTTAGATTTTATATAATTAATATTTGGGGACCTGACTGTACATATGTGGATAAGCTGATTAACGTTTTGCAGTTGTAACAATGGTTATATCATTATTCAGATACAGACATTTGATTTGGTGACTGTTTAATTGTGCCATGAGGTCAGATAGAATAATGTTTCAGATATTCTGCATGCAGAAAATGCATCATGTGCTTTTCTAGATAGCTCCAGCTCTATAGTGCAAATACTTTTATTAGCCAATAGGAATTTTAAAATAATGTGAAACTTGCACAGAAAGCTTTTTATGTGCCTTTTTAAAAAGGGGTTTATTGTATTCATTTGGATATGCAATGTAAGCAATAAAGCACATGTGCCCCTTGTCCCAGTCCGTCTCAGATGCATGTGGGAGCTCCTAGGGGCCCGGGACACCTTCTGGGGTGTCCACGCGGCTCTGCTTATGGAACTCTAGAGGTAACATCTGTCCTCTCTTACAGGAGTTATTTTAAATTTCAGAAAATTTCTTTGGACATACAAACCCAAATTTGGTTTAGAAGCATGTGGGTTTCTGTCATGTACCAGTGATTCAACTCGGTGCCCTGTGATGGTCTGTTAATTACGAGTTTTAAACATGAAAGTAGAGTGAGTGGTACAGCCAGCCCGTGAGGGCACCAGCATCGCCCGCTGTCGGCGCACAGCTAGTCCCAGGGTGGCCCTTTGTCCTGCCCCTCACAGAATCACTTTAGGCTGTTTGCCTCCCCCCTTTTAAGTGTGCTTCCCCAAACCAGAATTTGGGGCACGGGTTGTGATGACATTTGGGTTCTGGATGGGTGTCAGCGATTTATAAATGGGTCTGGGGCATCAGAAATTGGTGTCTACGGGGGTCTGTTGTTGGGGGCTTATGCTATGCTGGTTGGGGAGGGGGCCCTGCAGGGCTTTAGGTTTCTTGTCTGGTGTCCGTGATTAGAGGGATTAGAACATCACTGATCACAGTATGTGGGGTTAGGGTAAAAAATCTGTGGGGCTGAGAGACTGGACCCCCCCATGGGGAGGTCTTTGAGGATTTCCACCCCTTTCCGTATTGGATGCCTCTCTGGATGTCAACACACTCATGATATAGCACCAGCACATGACCCCAAGTTTTACCCCAGTGAGGTCAGTCTTGACCCCAAACTCCAAATTCCCAACTCCAAGAGGCCTTTACACCCCAGGCACCAAGCTTCAGACTCTGAGGCCCCAGACCCCCGGCCCGCACATCCTGGCACATAGATGACTTCTCCCTGGGTTATCCTGGACACCTTGGACTCAACATCTTCCAGCTAATAGACCCCACGCCGTCACCCCCTAGCCACCCAGTAACCTCTGCTGCCTCCCTGTCCCCCATCTGCACCCACAGCTCCTAGAGGTGCCTCTGGAAGACGCTGCTTTCATTTCTCCCTCAGTCTCAGGCCTGCAAAGACCACAAGCTCCGAGTGAAGGCAGGAGACATGTCTACCCATCCAGCCTCACTGCGCTCTTTCCACCTGTGCACAAGGGAGCCCCAGTCCCCCACATGTTGGCTTTCCCACCCACCCCCACTACCCGCACCTGCAGCCGCCTGGACCCTAGGGTCTTCCTGGGTCCCCTGGAAGCTGGAGCCCTCTTGAGCTGGTCTCAGAGCAATGGCGGCTCATGGCCCTGGTGAGGCACCTGCCCCCAGGTACAGAGAAGATGTTTAATCTCTGTGGATCATTCAGTGCCTGACAGCGGATGCTGGGAGGTCTGTTCTTGCACACTCTATCAGTCACAGTGAGGAATTATGTAAATGTGTGATTAGCTCTGCATTTCCTGATTCAGGGAAGTGAAGAAAAGGTGAAATAGAGAATTTTACAAAGAAAAGGTCAGATTTTGGATGGGTTGAAATCTTATCTTCCCTCATTAGAATGTAGGGTTGTTCTTGGATGAAAATAGTGTGGGCTTTTCAGCACCTCAAAGGGGTGTGGAGGGGAACACACAGGCGTGTGGTACAGATACTCGGGTGTGGTACAGATACACTCAGGCGTGTGGTACAGATTCTCTCGAGTGTGGTACAGATACTCAGGTGTGGTA